ATGTCTGGCCATGTTTTCTTTTTAAGATCCCTGATGAAATAATAAATCCAGGCAACAATCATGGCTGGCTGCTAAAACCATTAGGTAAAGATTGACAGGTATGTTGTCATAACGGAAGGAGAAGCCCATCAATCCAGCGTTGCAGGACATGGATCAGTGAAGTACCAAGTGCTTCCCGAGGGTCACACCACAGGAACAGCACCCCATCTGAAGCACCCTTGTAAAACAAACAAAAGCCCCAGGCAGAGAAGGAAGCGCCTCAGGGGGCACAGGCTTGAAGATTGTGTCTCACTTTTTGCATCACCACTTGCTCAAGGGAGTTGCCYGTACCATGTTTCTTGTTTGATCTTCTAGGCATAGTGCACTTACTCACAGCTGGCTCTAGGAACTCATTAAAGAAAGGATGAGGAGGCGTGTGGGCTGAGTGTGGCCCTGGCTGCCCTCACCTCTAACCCGGGCAGAGTAGGCACCCCGTGGCTGCTTTAAACCTCCCTGGGCCAGGTCCAAAGTCCTGTGGGGAGACAAAGGTCAATCAAACATGGACCTGCTTTGTGTACAGGTTGACGGATCTGGGGACAAAGGAGAGGCCACTTAAAACCACCTTCCTGACAGTTTTGCACCTAGAGCTAGCTAAGAGACTGAAAAGATGAAGCCAGCCATGTGCTCAGTGCCCGGGTCTGACAGTGTCTGTGGGCACTGTGCAGGGGCTCAGGGGTCCCTGTCCAGGTTTGGAGGTGCTAGGACACACCTTCTCCTGTCTGGAGGTTCCTCCTTTATTGGCGGTTCTAGGGACTGAACCCAGAGGTTCTTTACCACTGAGCTATGTCCCTAGACTTCTTATTTATTTATTTATTTGTTTGTTTGTTTGTTTGTACCAGGGATTGAACTCAGGGGCACTCGACCACTGAGCCACATCCCCAGCCTTATTTTGTATTTTATTAGCTAGGGTCTCACTGAGATGCTTAGCGCCTCTCTAAGTTGCTGGGGCTGGCTTTGAACTCGCAATCCTCTTGCCTCAGCCTCCCGAGCCGCTGAGATTACAGGCGTGCATCTTGTGTCCAGCTCCTTTTCATTTTTCATTTTGAGACAAGGGTTTGCTAACTTGATGGGTCTGGCCTTGAACTTGTGATTCTCCCGCCTCCGCTTGCAGAGAAGCTGGAATTACAGGTGCGTGCCACCACACCCAGCTTTTTGTTTTAAGTATTTTTTTAATTGACTCATGGTAATTATAAGTATTTATGAGGTGCACTGACACATTTCAGGATAGGTATCAAATGGTCAGACAAGGGTCGTTGACATACTCCTCACCTCAAGCGTTTAACCTTTCTTTGAGATGGATATTCAGAATCCTCTCTACCAGCTTTGCTGAAACACACAGATGTCATCAGCCATAGTGACCCCATGAAGCTCTAGGAGCTGTCCCTCTGAGCCAGGTGCACCGGGAGCTCTCAGCCTGGACCCCACACRTGCTTACTTATTTGAATCCCACTGTTCTTGTTCTTCCCTCGGCCCTCTTCCCTGCACTGGGAAACTTCCTGTTGTGCCCTCCGAAGCCTTCCTTTTCCGACCCCTCATTATGCTCTTGCCTTTGCTGAAACCTGGCTTTCCCCCAGGCCCGCAGCCCTCGCCCTGGGGCCTGTTCAGGCTCCCAGGACACACACCCCACAAAACCCAGAGGTGGGGCCAGATCCTGCAGGCTCGGCAGGTCCCTGGAGCCACCCCTGTCCCTCTCCTGCTGCCAGCCAGTTGCGCCACCCTTCACCTCTGCTCCAGATCCGCCTGGCACGCCCACCCGCTCCTGCACCTTGGACCTGGTCTTTGCCGGTGGCTCTACCTCTGCCACCGAAACTTTGCTCTCGGTGCCTTCCTGCCCTTYGCTCCCTTCCACAGCTTTGCTCTTTGGCCGGCCAGGACCCGTGGACCCTGGACTCCGGGGTGTGCTCCCGCCTCTCTCCCCACTTTTCTGGCAGAGGTTTCAGCCCTTGCCTTCTGTCATTCCTGCCTGATGACACCCACCCTCCCTGATGATGAGTGCAGATCAAGGCCCCCCGGGGACGGGGGCGCCCTGCTTTCAGCACCCCYTCTCTCTCTGGGCCCCTCCACACTGCCTGGAAGTCCCTCCAGATGTCCTGGTCCGCCTCCTCCCCAGCTTCCCCTCCCTTCCCATCTCTCCAGTTACCTCTCCTTTTATGCCCCAGCTGATGGAGGCCACAGCAGCAGCCCCCTCCTCAAATTATACACACCCCTCCGTAGCCCCTTCCCTCCAGGCTGAGCAGAAGAGGGGTTCCTCCTTACCAGGGCGCCATTGGGCTGGGCTCCGGGGCCTACCCTAAAGTCAGTTAAGATCATTAAACTTTTTTTTTTTTTTTGGTACTGGAGATTGAACCCAGCGACAAAGATCATTAAACTTAAAACAAAGAGGCATCTCCTAGCCTAGCCACCTTCCTTCCCTTCAGATTCACTTCCCCTGTGACACCTATTTCCCTRTCCCCCTCCCACATCCCAGCCCACTGCATTCTGTATTTTGCAACCTTCTTTGTTCTCAGTTCTTTATCTTTGCAAGGAGAAATTCCCGAGTGACCATTTCTCCAGCTATGTGAGTCATGAGCTCTTCCCTTCTCCCACACCACAGGCTTCTGCAAACACCCTTCTTTTCATTCTGTTTACTCTGGGCTTTTGCAGATGGATAACATTTTGCCCAGTTTGTCCCTGTGTTTATCATAAAGCTCACTTCCTTAGTTAATGCTTTTTTTTTTTTTTTAATGGTATTGAGGATTGAAACCAGAGGTGCTTTACCACTGGGCTATGCAAACAGCTCATTTTTTATTTCTTAATTTTGARACAGGGTCTCACTCCATTGCAGAGGCTGGCTCCTCCTGCCTTAGCTTCGTGGGTTGCTGGGATTACAGGTGTGACCACTACACCCCCACAAGTTAATACATTTTCTCATTCACAGGAGAAGCAACATATCTTGCAATATAGATACAGAAGTCTGGGTTTCCCAGGGAGGAAATAGCTGCTAGGCATACGCTACGGAAAATTCTATGAAATTTAGGCAGATTCCTAAGAAAATCTTCATATAGGAAGTATGGAAATATTTGATATAGGATCCTATTTTGAGTTTTGTTTTTCAGTGATGAGATGGAATCCAGGGCCTGAACGCACACCCAGTCAAGCACTCTGCCACTGAATATACCCCTTGCCCTTATTTTGAAAATTTTAACAATGCCAACTGTGAATGAAAGTGCTCTGATTTTGTTCTTGTTCTGCCTGGTGGTCCTGAACACCTGCAGCTGCCTGTGGGCTGTGTGTGTCCTGAGAAGGCCAGGCTCTCATTGTCTAGTAAAGATCAGGCAGGATAGGCACTGACCTGTAATCCCAGCAACTCTGGAGGCTGAGGCAGGAGGATCACAAGCTTGAAATCAGGCTCAGCAACTTAGTGAGACCCTGACCCAAAATTTAAATAAATACATAAACAAAATAAAAAGAGCTGGAGATGTAGCCCAGTGGTAGAGTGCCCCTGAGTTCAATCCCCAGTTCCACCAAAAACAAAACAAAACAAAACAAAAAACAGAGGAAATAGGAAAATAATACTCTTTGATTGATCAGGGTAGATACCAGACTGAAGAGGCCTGCGTGGTGAGAATCAATGACCTACACCCATCAGTAGACCCAGATTTTGTAATGCACCCACTCCTGCGTGGTGTGTGTGTGTGTGTGTGTGTGTGTGTGTGCGCGCGCGCGCGCGCGCGCGGGCGTGCATGTGCGTGCTGGGGATAGAAACCAGGGCCTTAGGCGATTGCTCTACCCTGAGATGCATCCCCAAACTCCGGACCCATGCCTCCCTTGACTGCTCCCAGCGCTGGGCTGATGGAAGCTGATACAGGCAACCTCACAAGCCCCTCTTAGACAGTAGACACTGAATTCTCCCCCAGGCAGTGTTAAATGGATAAGTGGCCTGAACTGGAAAGAAGAGTAGGCTTGTCTTTATCTAATAATCAGAGAGTTTCTGTGCATCAAAAGAAGACAGGATAATGTCCCGGAACATTGAACATATTTATGAAAGTGTTCCAAGAGCAGAGAGAACACAAGTGTTTTTTCTTTCTTTTTTTTTTTTTTTTTTTTGGTATTAAGGGGTTGAATGCTGGGGTACTTTACGGCTGAGCTATATCCCCAACCCTTTTTATTTTTTATTTTGAGATGATTCCACTAAAATGCGGAGGACCTCTCTAAATTGCTGAGGCTGGCCTTGAACTTGGGATCCTTCTGTCTTAGCCTCCCAAGTCTCTGGGATTACAGGTGTAAGCTACTGGTCCACCTGAAAATAGATGGGCATCTGTTAGTGTAAACCCCAATGCCCTTCCTGTGTGCTGTCACCTGAACATTGAGATTAAGTATCAGGTCACCACTGCATGTGTTAGTAGCTCCAAGTCTCATTCTGGGTTGGGTGACTTGCCCCTCTCAGACCATCTTGCCTTGAACTCAGTCCCTTGTATTTACTAAACGTGAGTTTCTCTTTGCCTGGTCTCCAGTTGCCAGGTACCAAGGAGGTCTTTTCCTTGGGACCCATGGGGAGCTAGGATGGTGATGGGACTCCTCCTTGACCCTGGGCACTTGGGAACAAAGGAGGCCAASGAATTATGTGGCAAAGGTGGGAAGTCGAGGGTCCATCTTCCAGAACCCACCTCCCCAAATATGGAACGTTCAGGATGCTGGCTAAGTTCCAGGCGTGTGCTGTGTGCGTGTGGGCCCACAGTTCTGAGGCCCAAGAGGACAAATTGCCAGCGTTGCACATGCCATCTGTCTTGTCTCCACCTCTAGCTGTCAAAACTCAGGACCCAGCCAGTGGAAATCCCCAGAAGCATGGGTTGGGTGTATCCTGGTCACTGCCAGTGTCCTGGTGTTTCTTTCAGATGGCGGTTACGTGGTGAAGGCCCGGCTGCTGACCTGTGTGGAAGGGATAAATCTGCCTTCCTTAGAACAAGCCATCCTGGAGCAGCGGCTCTACCAGCAAGAGAGAGGCAGCAGCCAATAGGAAGTGAGGACGCCAGCAGCCCCCCACCTACTCCTGAGGCCAAACCTTTGAGCTGCCAGAGCCACTGCAGAAGTGGAGACGCTTCCCTGAATGACAGCGTCTGACTGGAGCCAGAGAGTAGAGGGGCAGGGTGGCCAATCCAGCCTCTTCCTCTATGTTGGGATTGTTCCAGAAATGAGAGCCTAGGAGCAGGTGTCAAGGTCTGACACCCCTACCCTCCAGGAGGCTCCAGACAGTGGCGCTCCAGGGCCCTGGGGCTATGCCTCGTGTGGGGTCACAGAGGGTTCCAGAAGATCCTCCTGAATAAAGGCCCAGTGGGCATGACCTCTCCGTGTGCATGTGGTGTTGTGCTGGAAGGGACCAGGAGGGGGAGCTGCGGAGCAGGCAACCCACTTGGCAGTGAGGCTGCAGCCGCCCAGGCTTCTGGTGAATTCTGGGCTGGGTGTCTGAGGGGAGGGTTTGGGGGACCAGGAGCCAGGTGGGGGGCCCAGAACTCACAGGGATTGCCCCTGCCAAGGTTCTGCCCTCAAAGGAGGCTAAACATGGCCAAACAGGCCCAGCCTAGGCCCTGGCCCTTGACCATGTGGCCTAGAGTAGGACTATGGCTTCAGAAGCCCTCCCTAACCTGTGACCTCTGCCTCCCACTGTCCTTCATCCCTGGCAGCCCTTCTGGGCAGTCTTGTGCTCCCAGAACCTGGGCTTGGCTGGGCTGACACAGGGGCTTAGGCAGAAGTAGTTTGGGCCCTCCTGCATTCCGTAGCCAGGCACTGGGCAAAAGGTCTGGGGCTGCGTAGCGTCCCAGCGAGGGGCAGCGCCATCCCTGAGACAGGTTCCCAAGCAGAATGGGCAGTGTGCAGGGGGCGCAGGGACACAGGCTGGGGCTGGGCAGGGTGTTACATGGAGGCGGGAGGCGGGCAGCAGGGTGCCGGGCACAGGGTGTGAATGCCGGGGTATCGTCTCTCTTCCTGGACAGCYTTGCGGACATGGATGTGTTCCAGAAGGTAGAGAAGATTGGAGAGGGCACCTATGGGGTGGTTTATAAGGCCAAGAACAAGGAGACAGGGCAGCTTGTGGCACTCAAGAAGATCAGGCTGGATTTGTGAGTGCTGGGACGATGGGAACCCCTGCCCCGTGCCCCAGCAACCCACCACCCGGGAGCTCCCCTTCCATGTCCTCAATTCAAGGGTTCACGCTCAACCCCTTTTCCAGGTGTGGTGCAGCCCTTGTCCTCGTCCCTACTCCCTGTCCCCTGGTCAGTCTTCGCCCTGGCACTGCTGTGTGAAGATTGAGGTGTTCAGGGTGCCCATCTCAGGACAGGTCATCCTTGTGGGAGGGAGGACCACAGAAGTGGATCCCTCTGGCTAGAAATGACTCCTGCTCTTACCCATTGGCTATGCCCTCCTTTCCGGCAGGGAAATGGAGGGGGTCCCCAGCACKGCCATCAGGGAGATCTCCCTGCTCAAAGAACTGAAGCACCCCAACATTGTCAGGTGAGCSGGGGAAGGAGCCGGGGAAGGCGGGACCAGGAAGATGGCGTCCTGACTTCCATCTCCCCGCCAGGCTGCTGGATGTGGTGCATAGCGAGAAAAAGCTGTACCTGGTGTTCGAGTTCCTCAGCCAGGACCTGAAGAAGTACATGGACTCCATGCCGGTCTCAGAGCTCCCCCTGCACTTAGTTAAGGTGCCAAGGAACAGACAGAAGGGCAAGGCGGCCACACATACACACACACATACACACACACACACACACACACACACACACACACACGCCCCGGCCTGGCCCCGCACCAGCCACCCAGGCTCAGGGGGCTCCTCCTGCTCCTTTCTGCAGAGCTACCTCTTCCAGCTACTGCAGGGAGTGAATTTCTGCCACTCTCATCGGGTCATCCACCGAGACCTGAAGCCCCAGAATCTGCTCATCAATGAGTTTGGAGCCCTCAAGCTGGCCGACTTTGGCCTGGCTCGAGCCTTYGGGGTGCCCCTGCGCACCTACACCCATGAGGTAGAGTGAGGGACAAGGCGGAGGGAACGACAGGATGGTTTGTGCTCTCAGCCACCCTGAATTATGCTATTTCTTTCTTGACTCCACAGGTGGTGACACTATGGTATCGTGCCCCGGAGATCCTCTTGGGCAGCAAGTTTTATTCCACAGCTGTGGATGTCTGGAGCATTGGTTGCATCTTTGCAGAGATGGTAGAGAGAGAGAGAAAGAGACAAGCCTGGTCCCAAGGAGGCATAGGCAGTGTCCTATGGGGTGGTGGCGGGGCTCACTGATACCTCTGTTAGAGGTGGATTGAGGGGTGGCTAGGACTGGCTACAGGACCAGGAACCCAGCTTTATTCAGAAAGGGCTGGAACGGTTAGCACAGCCCTGGGAATGACATCCTAAAGTTTCCTCCCTGGTTCTGGCCACTTCTCTGGCGTTGGATTCATTATGACACTTTGTCAAACACACACCTTCTCTTCTTCCCTTTTCCAGATGACTCGAAAAGCACTGTTTCCCGGTGACTCTGAAATTGACCAACTATTTCGTATCTTTCGCACCCTGGGRACACCCAGTGAAGCCACATGGCCAGGGGTCACCCAGCTGCCTGACTATAAGGGCAGCTTCCCCAAGTGGACCAGGAAGGGGTTGGAGGAAATTGTGCCTAATCTGGAGCCCAAGGGCAAGGATCTGCTCATGGTAGGTCCTGGTGGGCAAGAAACGCCTCCTGGCCCCAGAATCTGCTCCAACCAGACTGTCTCTTTTGTTAACCAGCCTCTTATGTAACCCTCTTCTTTTATGGTGTGTGTGTATATTACTGGGAATCGAACCCAGGACCTTGCATACACGCTAGGCAAGTGCTCTGCCACTGAAATGTATTCCTAGCCCTTTTTTTGAGATAGGGCCTCACTAAGAGGCTGATCTCAAACTTGTAGTCCTCCTGCCAGCCTTCCAAGTAGCTGGGATAACCGTCATTCTTCCTTTTTTGGGGTGAGGTGGTGGCAGTATGGAGGACTGAACCCAGGGGCACTTTACCATTGAGCTATATTCCCAGTCCTTTCTATTTTATTTATTTATTTATTTTTAGTTGTGGGTGGACACAATACCTTTATTTTATTTATTTTTATGTGGTTCTGGGGATTGAACCCAGTGCCTCATGCATGCTAGGCAAGCACTCTACCACTGAGCCCCAACCCCAGCCCCCTTTCTATTTTTTTTTAATTTTTAAATTTTTTGTAGATGGACAGCATGCCTTTATTTTGTTTATTTTTATGTGGTGCTGACAATCAAACCCAGTATCTTACACATGCTAGGCAAGTGCTCTGCCCTTGAGCTACAGTCCTAGCCCTCTTTCCATTTTTTGAGAAGTTGCCAAGGCTTGTCTCAAACTTCCGGTCCTCCTGCCTCAGCTCGGCTTGTAAGTGTGTGCTACTGTGCCCAGCAACCCTCACTCTTTCTGAGTCCAGGCTGGTCTCCTTCCTGGCCCTTGTACACACCTGGCTTGTCCCAGGCCGTATTGATTGTCCCATCTAGAGGCCTCTTTGTGATAAGTCCTCTAGTTGAGCTTTTTCCTTAGGCCACAGCACTTGTTGCTTCCCCTAGTTGGCTTGTGTGTTTTTTTGTTCTGAGGGTCCTGGGGATTGAGCCCAGAGCCTGCTCAGGCTAGGCGAGCACTCGACACTGAGCCACATCCCAGCCCTGCGGACCTCACTGCTAATGTCAGTTGCCTGCTACCCCGGGGGGGGGACCCCTCCTCCTGCCGTGGTATTCCCCCAGTGCCCTCACACAGGCTGTTCAGAACAGACTGTTTCCTGCTGCCTGGGACCCTGCCACTGTCCTCGCTTCTCCTTCTTATAGCACCACCTTGACCTTGGACTGGCCAGAGTGCCCAGAGGCCTCCTCAGCCAAAGCCATCCCTGCTTGACCACAAAGCCTCTGAGCCACTTTTTGTTGTTGTTGTTTTTCGGTGCCGGGGTCAAACCAGGGCCTCATACATGCTAGGCCAACATTCTACCATCGAGTTACATCCCCAGTCCTTTCTTATTTGAGACAGAATAACCTTGGACTTGAATCCTGCCTCAGCCCCTAAAGCTGCTATAGGCACACACCGCTGGTCCCAGCCTCGAGCTGCTTTTCTGTCTACTCTGGTGGAGTCAAGAGGAAGGCAGTTCATCTTCAGGCTTCGTGTCCAGCTCTCCAGAAGTCTGTGCATATTATCCACCAGGACAGCACTGGCTTCCTCCACCCTGGCTTCCCCGTGACGTGGGTTTAGAGACTCCACGGTCCCTTGTCTTGTTACCTCCTCCTTCCCTCTCCTTCTGCTCTTTGTATTCCTGCTCCACCTCAAGTATGCCCAAACCTGAGGTTGGGGGCCTGCTCACCCACACACGGGACACGCCTGTGTTCTCAGCCAGAAGCAGGCTGGGACCTGGAAGTCTCAGCAAGGAAGGGGCATGACTGGGCTTCAGTTGCCTGAAGGAGACTGTTGACTCATAAGGCTGGAGCAGAACTAACCCTTTGTCCCTAGATTCTGGGAGTGTCCAGAACTGGCTCCAGAGCTAGGAGGCAAGTGGCTTCATGTGGTTCTGGGCCTGGGCCCTCTAGCTGGGGCCTGGGAGGGGAATTTCTCTCCCGGGTCTGGCAGCACCCAGGCTCAACCCCTTTACGCCTCTTCTCTCCTCCCAGCAACTCCTGCAGTATGACCCCAGCCGGAGGATCTCGGCCAAGGCCGCTCTTGCCCACCCATACTTCTCATCCCCTGAGCCCTCCCCGGCCTCCCAGTGTGTGCTGGAGGGTTTCTGCCGCTGAGAACATTGAGGCCCAGCACCTCAATCTGTCTGCCTCCCACGCACCTCCCAAGAGAACAAACCTGGGGAGAGGGCAAAGCTCTAAGGAATTTTGATCAGCCACCAGAGGGCTGAGTTTGGGTTAGTCCTGCCAGCAGGTTAGCAAGTCTGTGTTGTTTGTTGGATTCGACGGTCCTTTTCAAAATAGAAGAGCAGATGCTCCATGCATGGTGGGGTACGTTTGATCCCCAGTCCCCTGGCACTGGAACAACAGGTGCCAAGTGGAGCGCAGGAAGCCTGCCCGGAGCTGCAGGCAGTGGGCTCCAGGGGTCCCCCAGGCCCTTCACCTGACCTAGCTGCAGTAGCAGAACCAGCACCCCCCACCCCAACTGGATGAAAGGGAGCCCCCTGCTGGTGTTTTTGGATTTAAAGTGTTTGCAGGAGGAGTTAAAGTTCCATTTGGGAATCCCAAGTTAAACAGGAGGGGTGAGTAGGGGAGAGGGACAGTTTCCTGACCCCCAAAGAGGTCTGGACACTTGTGGCTGTTCTAAGTAGTTGTCACGCCACTGAAGATACTGAAGTTGGTTTTCTTTTATTTGACAAATGTGAAATAAATGTGACACATTCCTAAGTTTTCTGGCATTGTTCTGCTCTGGGGACACCCGGGCTTGCTGGCAAGGGGAGAGTGTTCTCCTGCAATCTCTTTCTATGGTCTCCCACTGCACCCCTGCCCAGAATCCAAGGAGCCACCCCACTCCATGAACACCCCGTTGACCAGCAGGCAAGCTGGGCACGTCCATGCCCTGACCCAGGGAAGGACCTAAGCAAAGTCTGCCCTGCATGCAAACCCAGACACGTCGATTTGCATCCCCAAATGTGAGCACACAGGGCCCTGGGAGAGTTCATTTATTGAAAGCACTGGGCAGGGGAGGAGGAGGGAAGAGCTGAGCTGCTAATCTGGTCTGGGAGAGGATGGATAGACACCGAGGTTGGGGGGGACCGAATACCAGGAACCTTTGAGTAATAAGCCATCTGTGGGCCGGGAAGAGCTGCTGCCTGGGATTAGGCTGCTATGGGGAAGGGGCAGGCACCCGCCCCTGGCTGCTGGGGGGCCATCAGCGCACGCAGGAGTGTGGCAGGCTGGGGGAGGGCGTGCGGTAGCAGCGGTACCCCTCCAGCGTAGCTGGGAGCAGCAGCAGGCCACTCAGTGGATCTTTACGGCAGCGCCCCATGGCCTCCTTGTAGCTCAGCCGCTCCTTAGAGATGGGGTCTGTCAAATCCTTCTCATAGCTGGACTCGTCCTGCAGGAGTTGGGCCAGGTCTTCAGTGATCATTCCACAGACCACAGCCTGTGGGACGGGGATGCGGCCCGTCCTCTTGGGGTCAATGAGCCCCCCAGTCAGGTGTTGTACCCGCAGGTGCGGAAGCACACTCTCCTGGGGCATCCAGCCCTTCTGGATGGCCTCACCCACCGACAGCCTCTTCTTGGTGACGGGATCTTCAATGCCGGTGAAGGCCTTCTGGGCATTGAGCAGCCGCTGYGTGGAGGTGTTCTCAATCAGCCCCCTCTCTAAGGCCTTGTGCACAGAGTAGCGCTCGCGGCTAAGGAGATCCACGATGCCCCCTGTGGCCGCCTGGGCCTCCAGCAGCTTCTGCCCAGTGATGGGGTCCAGCATGTTCTTGGCCACAGCGGTCTTGATGCTGCATTTGTTGTCTGTGGTTGTGTCGTAGACCCCAGCGATGGGAAAGCTGTCATCTGTGAGCCCAAAAGAGAAACTGGGGGAGAAAAAACCAGAGCTTTGGGGAGCTGGGGAGCCGAGTGGGGACTTGGAGATGATGGAGCCAATGGAGAGTGAGGAGGAGGGCTTGGTCTCCCCTGCCACGAGCAGGGCGAACTCGGAAATGGGGAGGCGGCCGTCCTTGTACAGATGGTACTCCTCCTTGGAGATGCGGCGACAGCGCAGGGCGGCCTCGATGGAGTACTGCTTCCCGCTCTTTCGGTCCAGGAGCACAGACTCCTCCCCACAGGGGCCCACGGTGGTGACCTCCTCCCAGTCACACTCCAGCTCCTGCAGCTGCAGGTACTGGCCCCTGTCAATGATGCCCCTCTTGTAGGCCTCGTACGGGGACATGTCGTTTCCTGTCTCAGGTTCCAAGATGCAGATCTTGGTGGAGAGGTTGGTCTCTCGAGTCTGGGTCTCCTGGCTGAGCTCCTCCCGAGTGACCTTGGTGTGCAGGTCCCGGAGGGCCCTCTCCTTCTCATAGATCTGGTCCTTCTCGTGGAGGATGGCTGCCTCCAGCTGCGCCAGTGCCTGGCCTCTCTGGGCTGCCTTCTGCCGCTCGCCCTCTGTCTTCTGGCTGAGCAGCTTGGCCTCCTCCTGCAGTTGCAGCACCTTCTGCTGCTTCTGTCGCTCCAGCTCCCGCAGCTCCTGCTGCAACCGCCCACATTCCTGGCCAGCCTGGTCCCGGGCCTTCTGCAGCTGGGCCTCCTCCTGGGACCAGGTCCTCCTCAGGGCCTCAGCCTTGTCAATCCGCTCGCGCAAGCGCCGCACCTCGTCCTCCCGGCCCTGGCGGGCTGCACGCTCTCGGTTGAGCTTCTCCCACACCAGGGCCCGCTCACCCTCCAGCACCCGGTCCTTCTCCACCCTGATCACTTCCTTATAAATGGTCTTCTCCTGTGATTTTGTTTGCTGAAGGACATCGATCTGGACCTGCAGGCTCTGGCACTCCCGATTCAGCTCTGTCACCCGCATCTTCTCCTGGTCCAGGTCCCGCCGCAGGGCTTCTGTGGACCTCTCCAGATCTGGGTCCTTCTCCAGCTTGACCACTTCCTCCATGATGATCTTCTCCTGCACTGCAGGAGGCCGCTTCTCCAGCTCCTGGATCCTCAGGGTCAGCTGCCGCAGCTCCTTCTCGGCAGCCAGCTTCTTGCTGCGGTCCTCCTGGAAGCTGAGCAGACCCTCCTTCTCCTCCACGCTGGCCCGCAGCTGCTGCACCTCCCGCTCCAGCTGCCGCCGCCGGCCCACCTCCTCATCCAGGCTGCGGCTCAGCCGGCTGTGGTCCTCATGCAGCTTCGGGTCCTTCTGGGTGACCACCACCTCCTGCACCACCACCTTCTCCTCGGGCCGCCTCCTCTCCAGCAGCAGGTACTTGTTCTGCAGCTCATAGACCACGGCCTCCGTGGCCCGTCTCTTCTGGGCTGCTTCCCGCACCTCCTGGCGGAGTCTCTGGGCCTCCTTCTCCAGCACTGGGTCCTTCTCGTGGCGCACCACCTCCTTGTTCACCATCTTGGTCTCCACCTTGGACCGCTCCCGCTTCCACTCGTCCCGTTCCCCCAGCAGCCGGATGAGCTGCTCCTGGCAGCGCCCGTTGGCGTTGACCAGCTCGTTGAGCTGAGCCTTGAGGCGGTCGATCTCACGCAGCACTTCCGGGCTCCTCTCGTGCCTCACCACCTCCTGGGTCACCTCCTTGTACTCTACCACGGGCTTCTGGGCCCGCAGGACCTCCAGGTCAGGCAGCAGCTTCTCCACCTCCTTCTCCACGCTGCTCCTCTTGCCAGCCACCTCCTGCAGCTCGGCTCTGAGCCGTGTGATCTGCTGCTCCGTGTCTGGGTCCACCTGGAAGATCTCATTGACCCGTTCCTGGAGCTGCACCTTGGGCTTCTGCTTCTCTACCACACTATACTTGCCCCGCAGGTCCCTCAGTTCCCGGGCCAACATGGCATTCTTGTTCCTCTCCTCCTCAAGGAGGCTTCTCAGCCTGGTGGACTCTTTGAGAAGAGCTGGATCCTGCTCCACCTTCTTCACCTCCTTCACGATGACCTTGGGCTCCACCGAGCTGATCGTCCGCTCCAGGTCTTCTATGCGAGCCTGTAGCTTGGCCGTGGCCTCCTGTGCCAGCTTCCTCTGTGCAGCGGCATCCTCAATCTGCAGCCTCAGAGCCTCGGCTGCCTTGACCATTTCCAGATCCTTCTCCACCTTGACCACTTCTTTCACCACCACCTTCTCTTTCACATTCACCTCCTTCTGCTCAAGGGCCAGCAGCTCCTTCTTAAGCTCCTCCAGCTGGGCTGAGATGACAGTGTTCTCCCCCCGCAGATGCTGGATCTCTCTGCCCAGTTGAACCGCCTGGCTGTCCAGGCTGGGGTCTCTCTCGATTTGGGTGACCTCCTTGGTCAGCAGGTGAGGAGGCTGTATGGTCCTCCTTTTGCTCTCTAGCTGGGCCACTTTCTGGGCCACTGCCTCCAGGTTTGCCTGCAGCCCAGCCCTCCTCTTGTTCTCCTCCTCCACCTGGGCCTTCACCCTGGACAGGCTGCTCTCCATCTGGGGGTCCCGGTAGAACTCCACCAGTTCCTTCTCCTCCAGCCTCTCCACGGGCCTCTGGGTCTTCAGCTGCAGCAGCTGCTGCCTCTGCTGCTCCAGCTCCTGCTGCACCTGAGCCACCCGCTTCCTCTCCTCCTCCAGCTGGGACTTCAGGGCCTCTGACTCCCTCCTTGCTTGGGCTGAGCACTCAGACCCCTGCTGCGCACCACCTGTCACTTGGATATCCTCACTGAGCTCCTTCTGCAGAGGGAGAAGAAGAAGGGAGAATACTGGGAGAAAGAAAGAGGCATCCCATTTTTCTATACCCCGTCCTTGAGATCAGAGACACGCAGCCCCCCACACACACACTTCCTGAGACTTCCATTAGCTCCTGAGGTGGGACTGAAGACCTGAGATGCTTGGTGCAGGATTTTGAGACCTAGTCAATGCCATGATGTTAGGAAGCAAGCAGGGTCAGGCCAAGTGTGACTGGTACTCCCTCTGAACCTTTCCCCTGCCTCTTCCATCAGGCTCCCAGAAGGGGCCCTTCCTCCTCTAGCTCCCACTGGTGTACAGATCAGGGAGCAGAAGACTAGCAGGCCACCAGGAGCCACAGAGAGTGCCTGGCTCCTGCTCTACCAGGGATGGAGACCTAGGTGGCCTGCTGCCATTGTGTCTGGGTCCAACGATAAAGAGTCTGTGAGGATTTTCTCTGCTCTCTGGGGTTAGAGGTCCTGTCCCTATCAGAGAACTGCCCGGTGGCTAAGCTGTGACTACATCGAAGGACATCTGCAGAGCCTAAATCGAAAGGATACCAGCCTGTTAGAGCCACTTGAGGGAAGCTGGCGGCTGAGCCTGCCAGGGGCTACAGGCTGCAGGGAAAGAGGAAGGGAAGACAGCGGGGTCACTGTCTCTCTCTGTAGTGAGGATAGAGGGGCCTTCATCTCTGTACCTTCTCTAGCATCTTTCTGGCAAACTCCAGCTGGTGCAGCTGCTGCTGGTGTGCAGCTGTGACCTCAGTATAGGCCTTGGCCAGGCTCTTCTCCTGGACAGAGCAAAAGGAGAGAGGGAAGGCAGGAGTCAGCTCCTGCCTCAGAGGCTGCACAGCTGGTGCTAGGGAACCGACCGAGTCCAATCTCACCTGGGCCTCGATGCTTTTCTGCAGGGGGGTCACTCTGGGTCTCTTGGGGGCAGACACTGCCAGGGTGGGCTCCAGGGAGCCATGGTAGGTGTCTGCGTGCAGCTCATAGTCCTGAGCAGGGAGGAAAGTCAGAGGGGAGGCCGGGCACGGGGGGAGCAGGATGGGAAGAGGGAGGGAGGCAGGGGGAATAAGGGATGARCTGACGGCTTACCTGGAGAGCCGCCTGCAAGTCCTGGGAAAGGCGGGCTACTGTGGCCCTGTCCCGCTCGCGGCCCTGGATCTCTTGCATCAGCCTCTGCCAGGGAGGAGGTGAGGGTCAGGAAGGCTAGAAAACTCTCTCACCTGGCTTTTCCACCAGTCCAGGCCTCCAGGGCCACAGGCCGCCAGTGCAGCCAGGGAAGAGGGGACAGGGAGAGCGGCTGGGAGACCTGAGAAGTTGCTCCTTTCCTTGACATTCTTCTCTCTGACCTTCCTCCCTCCTCTCCTGGGCAGTATTTCTTTTTCCTGCCTGGTGCCCCTCAGAATTCTGTCATGGCTCAGTGGCTCTAGCAGCGTGGCCACAGCGTGCGGCAGAACTAACCTGCCTGCGTGCCCAGTTACTCGGCAGCTCTGGGGGGTACCTGAGAAGGGGTGTTTTAGACAAGCTTTTGGGTGTCACTGCTGCTACAGGCTGGGGACCTCCCTTTGAGAGCCCTGCTCTGCCACAATCACTCTTAACCCTGGCTGCCCCCTTTATTCACCTGGGAACTTAAAAACAAAGATACTGAATCTCTGGCCCCAACAATTCAACTAAATTGTCCTGGTCCCACTCACTCTCAACTGCACTTCTGCCCTGGCCCCTCAGGGCCTCTCTGTCACTGTTCCCATCCCCTCTTTCCATTCTTCACTTGGAGCCACAGACAACTCACAAATGCCCACCCAAGGGCGCCCCTCCCAGGGCCTCCAGATGCTACAGAGCAGAATCCAGCCTCCTTCCCAAGCCTGGAAAGGCCTGGATGGTCTGCTCTTCCTCTGCCCATGAGCCCCCTCCTTTCGCCCGCATGCTGTGACCTTTGTGAGGGACAGTTCTCCCCTACTTATTCCTCAGGTCTCAGCTTAGGAACTGGTTCCTTTTGCACTGCTTGTTCACACCCCCATGAATATCCACCAGGGGGCTCCCACAGCGCTCTGACTTGGGCTGCACCAGCTTTCCCCAAGAGACTGTGAGCTGCCCCCTCACCCCTGGTGCATTGCCACTGACCCTGTGGTCAGAGATGGGCTAAGTGGGTGGGGCGCTGCAGGTGGGGGTTGGGGGAGGGCCAAGGCCTTTGCTCAGCTTTGAGGCCTTGGTGTGGTTTTGACCTTTGGCCATTAGGGGGCAACACATGCACGGGCAATCGTGGCCAGGGAGGTGGAGGTGGCTTGAAACACTCAATAGCTCTGGGCAGGCCACCCGTGGCCCCAGCCCCAGCCCCAGCCCCACCTTCTGTGCTTGAAGCTTGTAGGTGATCTGGCTGGGCCCGTCATTGGGCGACACCTGGTTGTGGGGCAGGTGCTCCAGCCAGGAGCTCAGGTTGTCTCTGCAGTTCTTGAACTGCTGGTAGGTAAGGCTGGCATCCTGCAACGTCTTCTCCCTGCAGGACAAGGTCCAGGGCAGAGGTGAGGGTTGTCCTCTGGGGAGGCTGTTGGTGTTCCTCCCTGGGACAGGTCAGCTGTGCGTGAGCTGCCAGGAAGATCCCCTACTCTCTGTCCCCTGTGCTGGGGCTGGGAATTGAGATGAAATGGATGGTCTCTGCTGGCACGGCTCAGGGTGTTAAGTGCTGTTATTATCCCATGTTAAAGATGGGGAAACGGCTTGTGCCTGGGTTCTGCAACAGCCTGTGTATCATGGGGACGTGTCACGCCTGTACCCTGAGGACCCAGCCACTCACCGCAGGTCCACCTGGTCCCCCACAGCGTAGTAGCGGTCGGTGAGTGCCCGCACCTGGCGCTGCTGGTGGGGCAGGTCTTGGCAGAACTCCTGGAAGTGGTTCTGCAGCGCGCTGCACGTGTGTGTGAMGGCCTTCAGCTGGCGGTGTAACCCCAGCACGCAGGCCTGCTGCTCCAGCAGCTCCCTCCTCTGGCGCTGCAGGGGGGGACATGGCCCCACACACCCTCAAGATTAGTGAGCTGCGTGTCCACCTTCACTGACTTCCAAATGCTTGGTCAGGCTGTGCCCCCTCTCCAGTCAGGATGCTGCCCATCAGTCCCTACCTGCAGCTCGCTGATCCTCTCCTGCAGAGCCCGGGGCCCGTCGGGGATGGGGCCCTCCTGCACCAGGGTGGACTCAAACCCTCTGATAATCCTGTCTGCATCTTGGATCTGCTGCTCCAGACCCTGGGCGGCCTCGGCTCTGCCACAGGAGAGGGGAGGGTCAGATGCCTTCTTGGCCACGCCCTGCTGCCCACCCAGCATCTTTCCTTGGGCACTCACTTCTCCCCGTAGAGGGTGCACAGAGCCTGCACATCCCTGTACTTGTTCTTGACGTTGTTGAGGACCACAGGCAGCTGCAGGGCAGCTGAGCCCACAGGTTGTGCAGACAGAAGCRCCTCACACTCCTGCTGGGCGGCCTCCTTCTCGGCTCCCAGGCTCTGCAGGCGCTGAACCATGTCCTGGAGGGGAGGGCAGGCTCAGTGATCTCTGCGCCCATGGGGGCAGGAGAATGTGGTGGGTACAAGCCTGGGCTCAGGCGGGCCCCACTAGGCCCCTTGGGGATGGCTGATCGCAGGCACACCTCTCTGACACTCGGTTTCTTTATCTATGGAATGATTGACGGGAGAATGAAATGGGCACTCCACAGCAACAGCAAGGACACAGTTGCCTCTTGCCATCTTCATGTCTCTGTCCTGCTCACARAACATGCAGGTCCTCACCCTGTTGCTCCAGGATCAGGCCACCAAAGCCCTGGCTCTGTCCACTTGGGGTCACCAGTTAGTCACTCAACTAGTTCCATAAATCGTGACTTAGCGCCAACTCRACAGTCCAGTCCAACAAAACTTCTTTTCGCCCCCAACACTGTTGAAGTGGCAGGTGCGAGGACTTCAAAACCCAATGACCTATTTTGGTGACAGCTTCAGCTATCAGAAACATTGAGGACAGCCAKGCCCAGGAGGCATCCAGTGAGCCCCCTGCCATCCTGTGTCCTTCCCCTCTTCACAGGTGCCTTGCCCAGAAGACCCCAGTGGACACCAACTCTCATTTTTCCATCCAGAGTGGCCTCCCAGCCCAACCTGCAGCACTGAGCCCCATGCCTGCCCCCTMGGGAAGCCCCTCCTGCCCACCCCTCCACCCCCTGCTGAACTGCAGCCTTCAAACACCCACGCTGTGTCATCGAAGGGAAACAACAGGTTGCACAACAACGTGAACAGCATGGTTCACATTTTTTAAAACCAAATACAAACGATACAATATATTTGAACAGAAACCGGTTTGGAAGGATAACCAGACCATGGCCCTTGGGCATGGGGAGGGGCAGCTTCTACTGGGGGCACTTTGGGGATGTTGAGTTCACAGGTAGAGAACACGGTCTTCTCTGGTAATGATGTTTACCCAACGCTGCTGCCTCTCCAGGAGAAACCGCCCCCYGAGATGCCCAGGCTTTCTTGCTGCTCTCAGGACCTTCACCTGAGGACCTCCTGGGGGCAGGGCCTCTGCTCTGGCCCCTGCTAGAAACTTCCTGGGCATTACCACCCTTCATCCTAGGACAACCAGATGAAATGGGCCGTACTGTGCTTATCCCAGGGATGAGGAAATGAAGGCCCAAAGAGGTTAARTGACTTGCTCAAGGTGACAGCACACACTGGTGGAGGAGCCAGGATGGAACCCTCTTGTCTGAGCTCTGGACTTTGTACTTTCCTCTCCCACCTTGGACCCCAGTAGCTGTTCTGTACTTGCCTTTTCACCCTAAAGTGTGTGCACCCCAGGGCAGGGCTACTTCGGATCCCAGCAGCCCTGCTGGCKGCTCACCCACCTTGTGGCTGTGGATACGGCCCTCCAGGTCCTCCAGCGGAGCAGTACGCTTCAGCGGGGTTCGGGCCCAGGCCAGCACCTGCTTCTCTATCTGCCCCAGGTTCTTATCTAGCTGGGTCATCTGGGTCAGGAGCTTCTGGGCCTCTGGAGCTGTGGGCAGAAGTGCTGGTGAGGGWCCGGGGCCTACCTCATGTCTGCCCGTGAGAGGCCCTCCCTGGGTGTCCATGGAGTGTCTGGGAACAGCCTAATTAAGGTAAGGAGAGCCCCAAAGATGTGGCAGAGACGAGATGGAGTCCTAGAGCAGATGTTCTGAATCCAGGGCCACCCCCCACCCATCACAGTCCCCCTCCAGAAGTGACCAAAGTAGGAATTTACTTTCCCAACAACCCTACCCGCTGGCCAGCCCCTAGTACCCTGCTGGCYGGGCCCTGACGGCTCGTCAGCACTGGCCTTCAGGCTGCTCTGCACTGTGGCAAGCTTCTGCTTCAGGGCCTGCAGCTCCAAAGCCAGGCTGGAAGGAAGAGATCAGACAACGACGACCGTCATGGCTCTTGCCTTCCCCACCTGGCATTCMGTGCTTCAGGGAAAGGCACGCTTGGGCAGGGGTCTGTGGGCAGTGACCTTGGGRACACAGGGCCTGGTCTGGGACGCCTGCTCCCAAGTATCCCTGGGCAGACCCACCTGGAGGCCCTGGCCACAGCTTCAGGGTCTGGTGCCGGGATGCAGAAGCAGGCGGCTGGGGCGCTCTTGGTGTCCCCACCAGGGCCCTGCACAACCCAGGTGTGTGGGTCAGTGTTGTCCATCAGCATGTACCTGTCTCCTCGCTGAAGCTGCACCTGGGAGGACAGGTGGGGAGGGGCTCATGCAAGCTCAGAGGCAAGGGCTGTCAAGTGACCAAAGTCAAAATAGATAGGGGCAAAGGACAGGAAGAGCAGCTGGAACAGGAGTAGGAGATGGGGGTGGGACAGATCGGAGGTGGGCCTTGGCCTGGGGAGTTGGGAGGCAGAGGGCCGTGCAGGGTGGGGTGGGTAGTGGCAGAGGCAGAAGTCAGTCCAGCCAGGGCAGGCAGAGCTCGTACTTCTTCCGAGTCCCAGTCGCAGATGCTGTCCACGTGCAGGGGCTGCTTGGATGGGGTCCTGCGCTTTGGCAGAGGGGCGACCTCTTGGCTCTTCTGCTGCAGTTTCCCAATGGTCCTCTCGGCCATGGCCAGCTGCTTCTCCTCTGCCTGCCAGGGGACCAGGCAGTGGGGGCTCAAGCCAGATTGCACTAGAGGCCACCTACCCCATAGCTGCCCCCCAAGAGGMTCGGGGCCTGGCCTTCATCATCATAGGGTCCTAACATACTGCAGTAAAAGGAGCCCCACCAGGGACCCCGGTGTGGGATCTGCTGGTTGCGGGTGAGGGAAGCGCTAGGCTACCCAGGCCTTCAGAGTGGAAGCTGGAGAGCTTTCTCAGGGTTTGGGGCATGACTAGGAACCTGGGTGGAGAGAAGTGGGGCCCAAAAAGACAAGCAGGACAATTTGCAGAGTAGGGTACTATGGCCTGGTGGGCTGTCTCACCTCCAGCTGTCGCACCAGCTCTATGGGGGACCCAGAGGGGCCYGAGGCAGGGCTGTACTTGCTGTCCAAGTTGGAGTTGAGCTTCACCAGGGTCTGGCTGACAGAGTCGGCCTCTTCCTGGAACTGAGGTCATTGAGTTGTCAAGGGCAGAGCCAGGAGCAACTGGCTGCCCAGTGACCCTGCAAGCCATCTCAGTGTAACAGGGATAAAAGAAAACCAGGCTAAACCCAGACCAGCTGCTCTCAAACCAGCTAAACAAACCAGACTAACTCCCAACTGGCCCCCCAAAAAACCACTCCATCTACCCAGGCAATGGAACCTTTTTACTTATTTTTATTTTATCGTTATTATTAATTATCATTGGTACTGGGGATTGAACCCAGGGATACTCTACTGCTGAGCTACAGCCCGCCCCAGTCCTTTTTATTTTGAGACAGGCTCATACTATGTGGCCCAGGTTGGCCTCAAACTTTCTATCCTCCTGCCTGAGCCTCCCAAACTGTTGGAATTACAGACATGCACTACCACACCCAGCAGCAGGACCTGGAGAGTGTGCAAATGGGCACTTTTTGTTCACTGAATTTAATTTTTTAAAAGCATGTCATTAAACTCTTGGTTTTGTGTTTCCTGCACAGGTGAGGGCCTCCTCACCTGCCCTCCTCTGATACCTGTGGTCCTACTGGCTGGAATGGGGTGTTTGGATTGGGCTTATCCCAATAAGCTGGAGTGTATTTAAAAAAGCACCCATGGTCAGATGACACCATGGAATTACTGTCAATGGGTATTGTCATACTGGTATTGTAGTTACATAGGAAAATGTCTTTCAACACAAAGGAAACAATAAAACTCCTGGGGTTTGTCTCTGTCAAAAGTCCATGAAAGGGGGCAACCCATACTGGTCCCCTCTCACCCTGAAGGAGCTGTGTCTTTTTTCTTCTCATTTGAATAAATCCTATTTTTTTAATATTTATTTTTTAGTTATAGGTGGGCACAATATCTTTATTTTACTTTTATGTGGTGCTGAAGATTGAACCCAGTACCTCACACATGGTAGGCAAGCACTCTACCACTGAGCCACAACCCCAGCCCCAAATCCTATTCTTTTATGGTAAAAAAAAAAAAAAAATGCATGAAAGGGTTGGGAAGTAGCTCAGAGGTAGAGTGCTTGCCTAGTAAGCTTGAGGCTCTGGGTTCTAGCCCCAGCACCACACACACACACACAGTGTATGAAATATTTTGGGTGGAAATTATAATAACAAAGAAAATCTCAGCTGCCTATTATCAGTGTCTCAGCCCTTTTTCATTATTATCCCAGTAAAGGGCTTTTTTAGACATTTTTWAAAATTCCCCCACCATCCCTGAACTTTTAATATTTCGGATTCGCTGCCCGTCTGTGCACTGCTGTATGTAGGATCTGTACTTTTTGCATTGGCATTGAGAGTGTTCAAATATTTTTCACCTTTAAGGACCAATTTTGACACTCCCCTACCCACCCCCCACCCCTGTCCCAAGGCAAAATTACCCCGTCACGATGGACATTATTTCGCCTCATGGGTCTTTTTGGCGGTGCCCGGCCCCTCCGGAGGCAGGTGTTCTTGGTGCCCTCCAGGCACCTGGGGCCTGCAAGTCCTGATGCCCTGGCTGCAGACTCACCTTGCGGTAGTCTTCCACGTGCTGCAGCTGGTTCTCCTGGCAGATGCACAGGTTCAAGAAGTTCTGCCACTCCACCTTCAGGGCCTCCTGGTGGACCTACAAGACCGCACTACCAAGTGCTCGACCACGCCCCACCCCAGCCCTCCATCCCGCTGATTGGGGTAGCACCGGGCCGTGGGCGGGGCTTCCCCACCTGGATGGGCCCCACCGCCGGGTGCCCGAGCTCCACCATGCGCTCGCCGTCGTCCTCCAGCTGGTTCACGCTCATCTCCTGCTCCAGCAGCTTGTGTTGCTTGAAGTGCTGGGGGCAGGCGGGGTCGCAGGCGGTGAGCACCAGGTCGGCCCTGGCCACCCCCACCGCCCTGGCCTCTCCCTGCCGACCTCGTACTCCCGTCGCACGCCCGCTGGGTCAGCCATGAGGTCGCTCCAGTCCTGCTGCAGGATGCTGCGCTGCTGCTCCGCCAGGGCGCTCAGCTGCCTCGTGCAGCCTTGCAGGTGCGTGTACAGGCTGCCCAGGCTCTGCCCGCGCCACGAGGCCGCCTTCTGTGCTCAGGACCAGCAGCCGCGAGAGGGGAGAGAAAGGGGTGGCAACGGAAGCCATCAGGCGCCCAGAAACACTGACCCTTTCAAGGGTTCAGGGTGCCAGCCCCTGCTCACCCCTGCACCCTGCCCCTTCCTCCTGCTCACCAGTAGGTCTTGGTATTGGTTCCTGATGTTGGCTGCGTCCTGACTCAACCAGAAAGAGAAACACAGGACCAATAAGAGGCAGGTGCAGAAGGTAGTACCCTACATCTGGGCCAGCCATCCCTGCCCCCTCTGCCACCCCGCCCCCCCCCCCAGAGGGCCAGCAGATCTAGCCCTGCTCTGACGGGAGAAAGTGGGGCTGGGGCTGGGGCTGGACTGGGATTCCCGCCTGGCGCAGCTCACCCACCGGCCCCACCAGTGTCCGTAGCTGCTGCCCATAAGCCTCGATCTCCCTCTGCAGAATGTTGTGCTCTGCAACCTGCTGCTCCAGCTCCCCCATGCCTGGCCCGTACTGGCCCTCGCAGACCTGCTTCTGCAGAAGAGACAGCCACTCAGTGCTGGTGGCATAGTCCTGCCAGCAGGGCCCTGTTGGAGGGGGAGTCCAAAGAACCCTCACACACAGCACCTCCCACCCTCCCTGAATCCTTATTGGGAGACATAGTGTTGATCATTTGGGCAGAGGGTGGACAGCCAGGTGAGCATCCTGGATAAATGGGCAAGGGGACATGCCATTCTCTAGTGCCACCATGACCACAGTCCCTGAATCCCCCTGGTTCCAGGCTCAGCCTCTGAAGCCTCCCTACTCTGCCCTGCCTCTTCTGTAGTCCCAGTCTCAATGCCTGCTGCTTAGACACCCCCAGCCAAACTCTGGGACCCTCAGCACACCCTGATCACCCAGGTGCTTTCCTCGAGTCCCTTCATTGTCATCATGACACCCCTTCTACAGCCTCAAAGCACAACTCCTCACCTGGAGATTGGAGATCAGGGTGTCCTGTGACCTGGTGGTGCCCACCTGCCCAGAAAACCCCACTTTCCATTACATCCAGGCCACCTCCCAGCAGGAGCCTTTTTTCCTTCCTTCTGGAGTATCCTCACCACTGACCCAGCTAAGTTCTCTCACCGCTCTTGCGCCCTGTTCTGCGGGAAGACAACCCTGACTGCACTGTCTGCTCTGCTGGCTCCTCCTAGACCCTGAGCCATCTCTAAGTCAGGCCCAGGACAAATGTCATTCTGTCTTGCTCTCCGACTGAGCCAAGGTGTGATTTTGAGCTCTTCAAGGACATGTCAAACATTGGGGGAGCCCCTRACCTGTTTCTCCTCCAGCACACGTGCCCAGTCGACCCTGGGCCCCACATCGGTGGGCAGCACTATCTTCTCGTACAGGGCGCGGTACTCGGCACACTCCTGGGTCACACGCTCATGCAGTTGCTTGATGCTGCCAAGGATCGGCCGGCAGGTCAGGCTGGGCCGGGCCTTCCCCAGTGCTCCCACCTCCGTCCATGAGCCCCACTCACTCCTGCTCCATTTCCTCGGCCTGTGGGTGCTTGAGCCGCCAGGCCTTGTCCACGTCCAGGAAGAGGTCTTTAAGCAGCACCTCTGCTTCCTTCAGGTTGCAGCCAGTCTCCTGCTGGTGCTGCAGGGCCTGGTTCTGCTCACTCCTCAGCCGGTCCTGGGAACAGCAAACAGGCTCACCGGGGCCCAGAGTCCACGTCCTCCCCACTTGTCCCTGCTGACCTCATTGCCAGCTTGAGCCTCAGCTCTGGGACCCCAGCTACACTGGCCCAGCAGGCCAGGGATGTGGGGCAGGTGGCAAAAACATGAGGGGAGGCTCGTCGCCTCCCTTTGTCCCCAAAGTAGGGAACACAGAAGAGAAGAAGGTTGAGTCCTGTCTCCAGCAGTGTTGGGGAGCAGGCAGTGAGGACTAGGGTGTCTGCCTCACCTTCACCATCACAGAGGGCACCCAAGGGACTGCCAAGCAAGACATTGGGCTCCCCATGCCACCCGATCTGCTGGCTACTGCATGCRCCTCACCTGCTGCAGCTTCTTCTGGGTCTCTAGGATGTCCCTTTCCACCTGGTCAGCATTGGCTTGCATGCGGGAGATGAGCATAGCCAGTTCCTGGGTGGCAGCCCTGGTGGATGGGGGGACAGAGCGTAGCATGGGGGAAGGTTCCTGTGTGCCTCACCAGGTACAGCCCCTACCCTTCCACAGTCAGGCTGTGTGGCCTGAATGGAGGAGTCTTTGCCTGGGGGACTCTGAGATAGATCTGGGGACAGGGTGAGGACACTGTTCCCCATGAGGATTCAGAAAGTGAGAGTCCCAGGGGTGTGTGGTGCTGTGGAGAGATTGGACCAGCTTCTTCCAGCTGGCCTGGCAGTGAGGTTCCCACCACGCCTACCTGCCTGCCAGGTTGCTGGGTGGGTGGCCCGTTAATACCTGAGACGGCTTGGCTGGGCCCATGGAGGAGCAGTGGGTTGGCTGGGGTAAGGGAGCAGTGCACACCCTCCACCCCAACCCCTCCACTCCACCTGTCTCCCTCCACCCCATCCTGCCCTTCAAGGGGCTTTGCCAGGGTCAAGGTTTTAGTAACCACCTGGAGGAGCCACACAATGCTGAGGCAGGAGGCCAAGACATGAATGAGGCACCCCAATACTCTCCAGACTCAGGAGTTCCAAGTCAGAATTGGGACCTGACTTGCTATGGGTCACAAAGTCAGAAACAGATGGTAACTCTGCTGCTTAGGTCCCAGGGTTCTTTTCCATGCTTTAATTTAGCAGTCTTTACAGAGCTCCCGCTGCATACATTTATTCAGAAGACTCTATAGAGCTCTTAGTGTATGCTTCACTCACTCTGAGGGTCAGAGAGTCAAATAGACCTAAGAAAAGGCCAAGTGGTCCAAGCTTTATGAACGTGGAGTCCTGCAGTCTTCACTGAGCTGGGACTTGAATCAAAGGCCAAAGGAAAGGGGGCTTCAGACAGAAGGGCAGTGCCAGTGAAGACAAAGCAGTCCAAAAGAAATCTAGGGTCAAGGAAGCCCGGGATATATAGCTCAGGAAGTAGAGTGCTTGCCTCACATGCATAAGGCCCGGGGTTCAATCCCTAGCACCACCAAAAAAGAAAGGAAAGAAAGAAATCTATGATCAAGCAAGAAAGTCTGGGTTTTTGATCCCCAGTACCATCAAAAAAAAAAAAAAAAAAAAAAAGTTATTCAAGTTCTCTGCCTGAGATTCTTACTTGTAAAGTGAGATTTTATTTTATTTATTTTTTAAATATTTATTTATTTATTTTGTAAATTTTCGGCAGACACAACATCTTTGTTTGTATGTGATGCTGAGGATCGAACCCGGGCCGCACACATGCCAGGCGAGCGCGCTACCGCTTGAGCCACATCCCCAGCCCTAAAGTGAGATTTTAATAATATCTTTCACACAGGGTTACTGTGTTAAAAGAATTAACCCAACAGAAACACCAGTTCAGAGCCTAGTGCAGTCAGCACCCAGTACATGTCAATTTTATTGCACAAGAATGTAAGCACTTTGAAGGCAGGGACCCTCAGCTCTGTTTACAGCAGTACTCCAAGACCCTACAAGTGTCCTGGCACATCGTGGGTGCTGCATTAACAGACTGCACATGAGTGGAATGAGGAGCCCACTTTTGGGTCTTCAGCCAGAGCCAGTAGGACCCTGTGGATGGAGCTGCCCAGGGCAGCAACACACTGTCCAGGAGAGTYCTGTCCTCAGGTCTAGTCTCATGGGAGGGCTGTTCCCACAAGAAGTTGCTCACTCCACCCTGGGCTGGACTCAGGTGCCCCAGGGAGGACAGGTCACTCCAGTAAGAGCCTTAACGGCTGTCTTTCCTGGTCCGCCCAGACACCCGGCCTCCATGTCAGCTCCATGATCCCAATCAGGGTAATGGGCATCCTCACCCCAGTCTTTCATCCCTGCTCTTATCTTGATGCCATGGCACCCTGACACCTGGAATGTGTGGGAGGGTGCCACCTCCACCTGCAGAGGGGCTGAGGCCAGAGAGCAGGAAAAACACAGCCAAGCCTGTCTGAAGAGAGCTGGGTGACGTGAGGGAGGCACAGCACCCCCTCCCCACATCAACATGGAAAGGAACCCCCAACTCTTTATCTACTCTCAAGGCCCCAGCTGAGAACCCTGGGGAAAGGTGCAGCTTAGGTGCAGATATCCTGCCCTCTCACCTAAGAGGGAGAGATGCCCTCTGTCCACCAGCACCCAGGTCCCAAGGGTCATCCCAGCCAAATGGAACCCTGGGGTCCGAGCCCTGGGCTGAAGCCAGGCTCTCATGCCTCCCAGCAGAAAGCGGCTTGTCCGGCCCCTGTCCAGCACTCTCCCTCAGGCCTCCCTGGAGATGGTGGGGAGCCCCAGGCCACCCGCTGCTTCCTGCGAGGGCTGCAGTTGGCCAGAAGCTCCTGAAGCAGGAAAAGCCCCCAGGCCTCCGGACGCCAAATACCAGCGCTGGGCTTCTGCACTCCAAGCTGCTCGCCAGGTGGCTGGGAACACCTGGGGTTCGCACCGCCCAACCCCACATTAACCCGCGCCCTGCTCACCGGCTGTGCTTGCTGGGGGATCCCTTGGGCGATCCCTTGGCTGGCGATCCCTTGGGGGACCCCTTGGCTGGGGACCCCTTGGGGGACCACTTTCCATGGGAGCCTTTGCTCAGCCCCTTGAACATGGTCGTAAAGGCAGGTGCCGGCTCGGGCTGGGCTCGCCGACGCGGGAGGAGAGCGGGCGGCGGCGCGCGTCCTGGCTGGCTGCTGGCCGGGCTGTGGCGAGGCGGGCCCGCCGGGGCAGGCAGTTTCTGGGAGGCCCCGCCCCGCAGGTGAGCAGGAGCGCCCTGCCCCGCCGCCGCGCATGCCCCGCCGCGGCCGCTGCGCTCCCGCACGACCAGTCTGGGAGGAAAGGGCGAGGCCCAGGGGGCGGGGCGGGGCGGCCAGCGCCGACTCCCACGGAGGCCGGGACCTGTTACACCCGCGCCCCGGGGGAGTGCGCGGCGACACACCCAGATGGGGAAGCAGCCGGGCGGGCGGCGCGGCGCAGAGACGGCACTCATGCAGGCGCGGGCCCAGCGGCGAGCCCCGGCCCCAGAGCTGGGTGAACCAACTCCCCCGCCAGCGCAGAGGCCCCGCTGTCACCCGGACCCCAGGCACCGCGCCGCCCGCCAGCCCAGGGCTTGGCGCTCTATCCCCGAATGGGGCAGCTGGGTATCATCCGCCCCACAAAATGGCACAAGGAATATTTTTTTTTAAGTTTTTACCACCAGGACACGCCCTTGAGTCCTGCTGCCCCATTGTTGTGGCTGGGTTGGGGTCCATCTGTCCATGGCTCCAGAGTCATAGGCATCAACACGGGCATGGCTGACCCCTCATAAGAGTCTCAAGTTAGCTCCAGAAAGGCCCTGAGGCCTCTGGACACTCTCCCAAGCGCCACCACAGTTGGCCAGCTGTGATGCTAGGCCCAAYCCCAAGACAAGCTGACCCACTAGGCTTGGGCTTCCTCCTGGACCTCCTTCCCTGTCCCCTCCCTGGAGGTGGTCCTGGTGTCTTGTACGATGTCAGCTGTGTGGCCAACAGTGAGGCTGGTTTGTAGTCTCCCATCCCATTCCTCCCCCACACCGCTGGTCAGGCACTCTTGTTACTGGCCCAGCTCCAAGCCCCTCCTATAGACGTGGTCATTTTCTTTTCTTTTTTTAATATTTTGTAGTTGTAGATGAACAACATGCCTTTATTTTGTTTGTTTATATGTGGTGCTAAGTGCCGCAGGCATGATAGGCAAGTGCTCTGTCACTGAGCTACAGCCCCAGCCCTGGTCATTTTCATTCTAAGAACCACAGAGTTTGGGTTTGGAAGGAGGGCTGGAGGAAGAGCAAGGGTCAGGTACACAGTCATGCTGGTTTGGGAGCTGGGACATCCTGTCAGGAGAGGAAGGGCAGACGGAGGAGACCAGGGATGAAGGCTGATCCAGGTTAGATGCTCCAGTGCGACGGAAGAGGCCTGAGTCTCTTTTGATGAGGTCCAACTTACTTATTTTTTGGTACTGGAGAATGAAGTCAGAGCCTGGCCCATCCTAGGAAAGTGCTCTACAACTGAGYTACATCCTCAGCCTGTCTCATTTAGTTCAGTGTCTCATGGACAAGCCACTGAACTTGGCCCTGGAGAGGGAACCAAGGAGTCCCCAGTTCCTGAGGAGAGGGTTGGCATGAGCAGGATGGGAGGGCCTAGGGAGGCCTGCCAGAACAAGTAGCAACAGGAACCAAGGTGGCTTATGCTCCTGGCAAAGTGTGATTAGCGAGATGGTGCCAGAGATGGCACGTCACTCAGCTTGCACCCTAGCCCCCACCCCAGCCCCACTTTCTTTAGTCTTGGAGAGCATCTTCCTGTGTGTGTGTGTGTGTGTGTGTGTGTGTGTGTRTGTTGCTGGGGATTGAACCCAGGGCCTTGTGCATGAGAGGCAACACTCTACCAAMTGAGCTGTATCCCCCKCCTGAGCATCTTCCTTATAACCACTAGTGGCACACCTGCAATCCATTTTCTCAGAAGGAGCCATTCATTCGTCTAAATGACAGCAGGGTGCAGAGGCCAACCCKTTCCACCCTTGACATTAGGCCCTTCCTGGGAGGTGGTGGCTATAGGRGTTCTGTGGGGGGGATGTCTAGACTTCAGCCGAAGTCAGGACTGTCTGAGCTTCGCCACTCTCTGCAGAAGCTCTCCTGGTAATAAATGAGCACTACAGGGGCCCTCACCTGCCCAGGGGGATCAAGCACTAACTGATTCACTGCTGGAAAAACAAGAGCTGACTTCTGGCATGACTGTCTCCTGCCAGATCAAATCAGACTGGCTCCCCAGATGAGGGCTTCGGGGCAGGAACACAAGGACACTGAGGTGACTCATCACTATGGGATGCTCCTGCTCAAATGGCAGTGACCCTGACCCCAAGAATAAATCACAGGAGAAAGAATATGGACACACACACACACACACACACACACACACACACACACAGAGGCATAGCTGTATTTATGCTTCATCTCTGGCCTATCACCCTCGTTACATTTAGAAGGCCAGCATGGAATTGCCTTCACCAAGATTCTTAATGTCCCACAGTCATCACAAGCCCTGTTGTGTGTGTGTTGGGCATCTGAAGGTGCCTGGCCCAAACTGATATGGGAAAAGAACATAAATGTCTCACTGTTTTTAAATATTTATTTTTTAGTTATCAGTGTACACAATACATTTATTTTTACATGATGCTGAGGGTCAAATCCAGTGCCTCATGCATACTAGGCAAGTGCTCTTCCTCTGAACCACAACCCCAGCCCCTCATTATTAATTTTTATACTGATTACATGTTGCAATATTTTGGGTATATTCAGTTAAATGAAATGCATTCTTARTTTGACCTGTTGTTTTTTCTTTTTAAAATGTGGTTTCTTGGTCTGGTGAATGTGGCTCAGGGGTAGAGCACTTGCCTGTTGTGCATGAGGCCCTGGGTTCAATCCCTAGCACCATGGGGTGGGGTGGGGGGATGTAGCCACTTGCCAGGCGTGGTGGCACAGACCTTTAATCCTAGCCACTCCAAAGCCTGAGGCAGGAGGATTGTAAGCTTGAGGCTGGCTGGCCTTAGAAACTTAGCAAGACTCTGGCTCAAAATATAAAAACTAAAGGGCTGGGGCTCAGTGGTAGAATACCCCTGGATTCAATCCCAGTACCACAAAAATAAATAAATAAATAAATAAATAAATATGGCTATTAGGAAATTAAAAAAATACAGGGAAGACCTGCCTTTGTCGTTCATGATAGAATTCTGAGACTCTGACCTGGCAGCTGGACAGGGTGACTCCTTCCAGCTTCCTCAGGTCTTGGCCCTGGCGCATCTCCTCTCGTCTGGCTTCTTGTCCTTCTTCCCTTGCTTTTCATGGCTTCCTCTTCCATGGACTGAGAGATTTGAGATCAGGATTCCCTACTTTTAGTCGCAGCTGGCTTACATCCCTAGCCTRGAGCTCCACACAGATCATGGGCCTGCGGTCTGAGCAGACTGAAAGCAGCATAACTCCCAGTACCTGAGGCTGCCACGCACAGCTAGGCACACAGGCAGCTAGGCCACACAGCCAGGCCACAGGGTGGCACTTGGTGAGCGTGCCTGGGCTTAAGTCCTTAGCTGCCCACTTTCTCCTACAGTTCAGGGGGCCCTGATGAAGCAGATGGTGGCAGTTCTCTTGTCCTGGGATCATTAGGCTGCTCCCTGATGAGGACAGGCTCTGCTTTTTCAGGAAATTGCTATTTGTACTCTGCCAACAGACCCTTGGACCCAGGCTAAATAGCCTCCCCTTCCTTATGCCCCTTGACCCTCTGAGGAGTAGAGTGCCTGCACCAGCTGGGCCTAGAGAGGACAGGCAAGTGGCAGGGAAATATGAGGGCTGGGCCACCTTCCACTTGCACAGTTCAAGGCTGGGGTAGAGGCCGAGGCCCCAGGAATCTGCAGGGTTGTCTGGAGGAGGCTCTTCTGGATGTGAATTTGACCAACAGTCTGATAAAAAAGAAATGCTGAAGGTCCGCTGGAGAGAAGCAAAGGCTATGTGGCTCTCCTAACCAGAGYAGCCAGGAGGGAAAGTGCTAGCYGTTCCTTTGGAACCTTTTACAGGGAGGACCTAGAAGCAGCATCTMAAAACCAAACCCCAAAACACAAACCTGCCTGTGTAGAGAATAGGACTCATACTAATGGCCAGAGAACACAATGGGGACACTGAAAGTCCCCAAATCCAAAGCTGCTTGGCGTATCTGTTGCTCCCCATGAATGATCCCCTTCACAGGCCTTGAGCCCCRGAGGCCAGCCTGCGATCACCTGTAGGACCAGTGCAGGTACAGCACACACCTCCCTCCCACAATGTGTAACACATCCCACTGCCCACCCCAGGGGCCTGGCCCTCCCAGGGTTGCTCAGGAACTGCTGGATCTCTGGGCCTCCTCAAGTTACCCTTGGGCTCAGGGCCTCTGGTACCTTTATGGCAGATCTTARTCAATAGGTCTGGGGCCTGTGGGCTCTGCAGCTGATAGCCCTGTCAGCTGAGCCACAGCAGCAGGGTGCTGGCACACCTGCTGGGTGCACTACTCTGCGAGAAAGTGTTCATAAAACAGACATTCAAACCTGCAGACAAACCTAACAGTCTTCATGGCTGAGGGGAGGCTTGCTTAACCTGTCTTCATCGTCAGGAAATTGGAAAGGCCTAAGTCTATCTACCTGTTGTCCTAACAGCTTTGTTTAGACTTAGCAGGACTCTGCTCAGAAGCCAGAAGGGGAGCCGGGTGTGGTAGCACACACCTGCAATCCCAGCCACTCAGGAGGCTGAGGCAGGAGGATTGCAAATTTGAGACCAGTCTCAGCAACTTAGTGAGACCCTGTTTCAAAAGATGGGCGAGGAATGTAGCTCAGTGGTAGAGCTCTCTGGGTTTAAGCCCTGGTACTTTAAAAAAAAAAAAAAAAAAAGGGAAAAGAAAAGGTGGCAGAGGGGGAAGGCTGGGTCCGCGTGCGAGGGCCTCTCAGTGCACTGCTCACCAACTCACTTTGGATCCTGGGCCTGGACCATCTGGGGGCCTCTCCTTGCTATCAGTTTACAGTGAGGAAATGTCTATGCATCTTCCTCCCAGAGTAAGAAACAGATGCCCCTGCCCTGTAGGT